ATTGTAAATGATTTTTATTTGATGTTTTTGTTTTCTTTGAGGCTGAAAAGTTTTATAAAAATGTTAGTAAGCTCAAAATGAATGCTTTAACCTGGTTCTGCCCTATTTCTTCTTCATGTCAGAAACCTGAACCTTAGACCCAACTGGACTGGGTCAGGTGGATCCACAGCTCCATCTAGCGGCCTTCTGAGGAACTACAGCAAACTTTAGATAATTTCCTCTTTTTTTTTTAAACTATCTGAATCTGATTTTTTATTTTTTACTTGTCACCATGAAAGGTGGGAGATCATGTAATCGTTCGTGTCTGAGTGTTTGTTTGTGCATCTGTTAGCAAAATATCTAATCTCCAATCATCCTTGGAAAACAAAAAAAATGGCTCAAACTTATAGATATTAAGATTGAATTTCTGTAAGGAGTAAACATCTTCTAAGATTAAAAAAAAAACTTATTTTAGAAGTTTTTAGGTAAGAAATCATAAATGTTGGATGTAAGTGAAATTGATGCTGTTTGACTTGAACACTTCTTTGGACGTGTTAAAATCTAAAACGCTTCAGCTCATCAGGAGTTTGTAGAAAACGTTCCCACCTTCACAGCCTTGGCCGTCTCCAGCGACTGCTCAGGGGGGATTCCCACCTCCCGCTCCCTGAGGAGCTGCTGGGTGAAGTAGGTGATGTCCCGTCCGGCGATGGGGATGTGCTTTATGCAGCTGCCGATCACGTAGCCTTCGGCCTGAAACACGGAGAAGAGACAGACCGGTGAAAAGGGTCTGCCCGAGCCGGTGGACGGATACGGGACGTGCGTTTGAACTCACCACGGGGATCACGTGAGTGACGCCGTCTCCGCTGTCGATGACGGTTCCTGTGAGCGTCCGTTCCCCCACCTGTCGGGACGTCCAGGAGGCGGCGAGGGCGAGCACGGCCTGCCTCAAACAAACGAGGATAGGTCATAAACACGGCCTCTCACCCGAGCCTTACGGAAGGATCTGCTCTGGTTCGGTCCGACCTGCACGGCGATGTACAGCCCCGGTACGTTGAAAGACTCGAACATGATCTCTGCCGTGTACTCTCGGTTTTCTGGTGTGTTCAGCGGAGGCTCCGTCTGCAAAAATAGCAGACGTGGCACCGTGACTCCACCAGACGCAGAGGAGAACTTTAACATCTTTAAAGGGACCTTTGACTACCTGCACATACTGGTCTGATCAACTTATTTATCTACTACAAGTTGTTTGTGACACAATAAAACTCTACATGAAAAATTTAAAATGTTTATTATAGTTTTTTTTAATCCAAGGACATCACCATTATTATACCGGTGCAATGCATTCTGGGAGGATGACGTGCATCAGTTGTAGTGGAGACTGAAGGCTAAAAAGTTATAACATGTGACAAAGTTATATTTTGATTTTGGTCCTTATGCACAATATGAGTAGAAACAATCAAATGTGATCAACTTGTGATGCTTAATTTATTAGATCTGAAGAGAACGTCAAAATAACATATTTTTCCTGCTTTCTCTTGATGAGGACGGACGCATTTCCCTCCCGCTCTGCCTCCCTCCTGCTTTGCTCTTTGGTCTGCGATTCCTACCGGAGCCTCTTGCTACATATCTTCTGAATTGTAAATTACGGATCTGGTCAGCTGGTCTCTCAACGCAATTGATAAAATTTTGGAGACGACAGGGCGAAGGAGAGCCCTCTTGCCTGGACGAGACACATGCAGCTGGATACACTATGGACTCCTGGGGGCAGTGGAAGATCTTGTGTCTGGCAGTATTGTCGGTCGAGGATGTAGAAGACGCGTAAATAATTGGATTTATGATAAACAGGATTTCTCCTTTTTGGAACTGTCCGTCACCTGGCTCATCGACAAATGTGGAAAATGTCAGCAGCTGTTCTGGCCTTGCTAAGGCTGCCTGGCATGAAGGTACCGAGCGGGAAGCACGCAGACTCAGACGCTGGATGAGCAGAGCCGTAAGCTGGACGCGATTTCTGAGAATCGTATCCAGCTTACGGCTCCTGGAACTCACTGGCGAGAAGGAATCGACCTTGGAGAAGCTACAAGCTCGGCCACAAGATCTGGCTGTTTGGAATCGCCAGTGAGACGTACCAGCAGAACTACGAAGGCACACATGGAGATCAAGCAGAGGCTGCCTGACCCAAAATAATTGTGTTATCTGAATCTGGCTTTCCACTCGGTCTTGAATTGGCCACTATCTCAGACTTCTGGTTGTTTACGTGAACGAGAAGCTCTGGTAACATCAGTGTACCACTATTTTATTATTATTATAAAAACTAAAAGGTCTATAGTATTTTAAAGTCTTGTTTTTATAGCTGAAGTAATTATCAAATAAGGTCCAACTAGTCGGAGATCCTTTCACCTTTAAATAAACTGACCAAAATTTACAGGAAGCAGAACCCTCGTTCTACGAGCATTGAACAGGAAGTGGCTCCAGGTATCTGGTGTTCTGAGCCCTGACCCGGCTCTCACCAGGAGGAAGTAGTGGTCCTCAGGCTCAGCCCGCAGGTACTTGAAGATGATCTGTTCCATGAAGCGCTCCATGAGGTCCCAGTCCTCCACAATCCCGTGACGAATCGGCCACTGTAGTCAGAAAGATTTCAGGTAATTAGACCATTGCTCCGGGAACACCAGGTGAAAAAACCAGCAAAGATCACATGTTTGTTTTATATTTTGTTCCACCACTCTTCTAGAGTTTGGCCCTTGAAGCAGGAGTTCCCAAACATTTTAACTTCTGACCCTCAGAGTCACAACAAATGTCCTTCACTGAACCAAATACTGACTTTGTATATTTGTAACAACTACAGTGAAAACATGCATCTCCAAACCCCAAATTCAGTGATTTGTGACACATCTTATCACAAGCAGAACTGGTTTGTTCCACTTTGGAGGAAGCTGTTGGGGGAAGAATCGGTTTTGTTGTGCGTTTCCTTGACTGATGAAGCCTTCTGGATGGAAGGTGAAGCGTTTCAGCACAAAAAAAAGAAACTGTCCAGATGATCTGACTGAAAAGTGTTGGATTGTACACCTGGATTATTGAGCATGGACTCTGATGTTAACAAAAAGGAGCGTTTAGCGGCTGAAGAGTCTAAATGTAACTTTGCTCAAACGATAATTTGCGCGTGTTAAAGTATCTCATGATTCAATGGACAGGATTTAATGAAACTTTAAAGGAACGATCAGTGGGTGAACCGTTGGCTAAGTGAACACAAACTCGGAGCTAAACGATCTTATGATATAGCGCCAACGCTATTATTGTGTGAATGTTTATGAAGCATTCACACTATTGAGATCCATTTTTGTTCCGTAAGTTTTTCAGCTTCTTTCTCGTTCCACAATTTTTGTGCCATTAAAAAAAATAAATCATAAATCAAAATGTTCAGCTGTTTCAGGACGATCCTGCAATGCTGCTGGTATTGGTGCAACATTAGCTTCTTGAAATATTTAGCCTTTTCTGTCTCATAGAAAAAGAATTGAGCTCATTTTAAATCCTTCAAATCTTTAGATCCGTTTACCTTTTACTGCTCCTTTCACATTTTGTAACAATTCAGCTTCCTTGTGCAGATTTAAACTTTTTTTCAGCTACTTTCAGTTGAATTTTTCAGCTGTTTTGTGCTCCTTTTAGATGTTTTTCTGCTAACTACAACATTTTTATGCTTCTTCTAACTTAGTTTATTTTAGCTTTTTTCTGCTATTTCAGCTACTATTTAGTGGTTTTTATGCTAATTTTAGCTTCTTTTTTTTTAGCTAATCCCACATTTTTTGCACTCATTTAAACTTTTTTCAGTCTAATTCAGCAAAAATATGCTTTCTCCACTTCCTTCTGGTAATTTAAGCTTATTTCTGCTTTTAAGCTACAAGTACTTAGCAGCTTTTTTTGTTGTTGCTAATTTCAGCTTTTTCCGTATAATTTCCACTTTTTTGTCCTAATTCCTGCTACTTTCAGCCTAATATGGCAAATTGTGCTCTTTCCACTTCCTTCTGCTAATTTAAGCTTGTTCAACATTTTCAGCTAACTTCTTAGCATTTCTTAGTTAATTTCAGCCGTTGTCAGATAAATTCAAGCTTTTGTTGTAACTTGTGCGACTTTCAGCATAATTAACTTTGTTCTGCTAATTTCAGCTCATTCCTGCTAGTTTCAGCTTTATCTGATATTTCAGCTACTATTTAGCCCTTTTTGTGCTAAATTTAGCTTTTTCAGCTAATTACACATTTCTTTTAGCTCATTTCAGCTCCATCCACTTCCTGATGGTAGTTTAAGCTTCTTTCTGCCTTTTCAATTACCAGTACTTTTCAACTAGTTTTAGCTAATTTCAGCTTTTTAGCCAATTTACTAAATCCACGCTAATTTCTGCTTATTTAAACCCAATTCAACAAATATGTGTCCTTTTGGCTTTCTTCTGCTAACTGAGGCTTGTTCATCCATGTCAGCATTTTAGCTCATTTCAGCTGTTTTTCAACAAGTTCTTCAGCAATACGCATTCACACTGCATTTTCACAGGAAATGCAGTTTCTCTAGTTCTTATAATTAATATTATTATTGATCATAATCTGATTTGTGTCTAAAACTCGGAGCGGGTGATCTGCATTCTTTTATTTTGACGCCGCCCGGATCAAATAATTTATTCTGGAAAGTTTGAGTTTGTTTTTTTGCGTCACATCGGAGCTTCTGAACGGAGAAAGCGGACCTTCACAGTCTGGTGCCGAGACGCCGTCAGAGTTTGGTACCGGTACCTTTGTAGAGTAGGTGGGTTTGTCGATGGCTTCGTCGCCGATGTAGAAGTCCAGGTCATCCACCCCCTTCATCATCCTCCTCTGGGCCTGATCTCCCACTTTGGCCGATTCTTTGATGGAAATACCTGGAATTAAAAACTTTATTCAGCATCTCGGCTGCGTTTTGGTTCTGTGTGGACGGGGAGACAAACGGATCAGTACTCACATGATGGAATGATGAACTGAGGTTCTGTGTTTCCTGCGTAGCCCAGTTTGGTGTATCTGGAAGAGAAGAGGATGGTTTAGACCGGTCCTGCTGACTCAGCAGCTCTGTGTGGATCATGTTGTTGTTGTTGGCTGACGGAACCAATGGGTTCCATCAATGCCTGCGCTGTGGTCAAGAGTGGGGAGGGGGGTGCTGGGTCCAAATGTGAGTCCAATACAAGAGTCGTTCATTACGCTGCGGTTCTGTTTATGAGGAGGGACAGAACCTCAATAAAGGCGAGGCCATGACCTTTGACCTGCTGACTGAGGCCTGTACAGTCACTGCACGGTCTGACCTTCAGGGTGAATCAGCCGTTTAAATGTTTTCCACGTGTGAAGAATCTCTGCAGAACGATGGACTCCAGAGTTTGGAAATGACCTTTGACCTTTCAAATATTGATATGCAGCGTCTCTGAGGTCATTGCTGATGTCTTTCCACCCTGACATTGTGTTAACACACACCTGTATGCTTCAAAGCAGCAAACTGGCGGCCATTTTTATTTTATTTTTTTAAACAAAACTACTCAAACCGTCTGGTGCCGTTTTACTTTTATGTTTGGGATTAGATGTGAATCACTTAAGAACGCGGTAAAGATTTTTGTTTGGGCCCGACCCGTCGACAAACTCGTGGTTCTGCCGTTGATCCAACAGAACTCTGTGAACGCAGGATTAAACACTTTCTTTCACCTCAGACCGGGAGTCGGAGCCTCCACCTCACTTCCTCCTCTCTGTACAAACGGAGTCTCACATGTTAACCAGATGTGAAGCCTGAAGGACGACAGAACACTGAGGCTTAACGGACCACTGCCGGGTCCAAACAGAACCTCCTGTGAGATCAGACTATTAAAGGAACAGAAGGAAACTTCAGCTTCTGAGGTCACCTGCTGCTGCAGAGGAAACCGAGCGGTTTTCACACATTTCTGCAGAAAAATACGGACAGGAAGCAGAAAAGGTAAAACCTGCAGCACGACGACGGCGTCGTATTCCGTTTGAATTTATGACGCACGACAAAAACAGAAATCTGTTCCTACATAAATGAATGTTTGCACCGCTGAAGGACTAAATAATCAGAATATCTGATATATTTCTGTTTGATATGGAACTCAATTAATCCCCACTGAAACCAGTTTGTTAAATTTGCTCTGAAATCTTTTTTTTTTCTGCACCAAAGAAAATTAATCTATAAACGTTAATCAGCAGCGCAGCTTCAAAAACATGGCGGGCCAAACTGAGCACATGGAGGCAGAGCTTCTGAGAAGAACGCATCACCATAACCAAAGCCCTCACTTCAGAGTATGAGCTGTTGGTGATGCTCAGCTACTACCACACCAAGCCTGAGCTCAATATCCATCAAACTGACCGAGTTCGGGACGTTTCTGTTCAACTTTCATTCAAATCTGCCCACGGGGAAATAAACACGGGCAGTAAAATCACAACAGGCCATAAAAATAAACCTCGCAGTGAAAGTTGACACTAAATTTATATTTTTGTGTCAGACGTCAGATGTCCATATTTGAACATAAATTCCACAGCTTTTTTAGCTCATTCCACAGAACAGTCTCGGCACGTCGCCGTCAACCTGCCTGGACAAGCTGAAAGTATGTTGAACGTCACGCTCGGGTCCAACAGAACCCTCCTGCAGGAGTTTATCTGCTGCTTCAGTTTATAAAGTGAGAACTAAAACCTGCCAGTTTTTGTTGTTCGAGGCCGAGAACAAACCTTCAGCCGCACCCGAGGGGTTCTGCTCCGCAGGAGAAAACGACCCACGCGACTCCACCCAAACACAGACCTGTCCTGAGCCCGGCCAATCCAGGCAAGTCCACTTATCACCGTTTGGACATTACGACTCAGAGGAAGCAGCAGAATCCTCTCAGAACCTCCAAACATCTGTCCACAGCTGGAACTCTGAGGAGCAGTTACACAACGTCAGAGTAAAAAATAAAAAATAAAAAAAACAGCTGAAATCTAAACCTGAACTCAGCTTCTGTCTCTTTTTTTATTTTATTTCTTTAACAATAAACTTTCTACGTAATCTTTTGAAGTGGCTTTAATGAAGTTATTCAGTCCTTGTACCTCGACTCCGACTTATGAGTGGTTCAAACATAAAAAGCTTAACATTTTAACAATTTAAAATAGTCTAAAGATAACACAGCTTAAACTAAGATTTTAGCTCCAACCAGGTGATTCTCGATGAGCTTTAGCTGAAAACCTGACGATGAGCCGAAGAATGAAGCGTCCCTCAGCTCGTTTCTTTAAAACACGACTTTCAGCTGCCGTGGAACGTTATTTAGAGTCCAAATCTTCTTTACTTCCATCCTAAACTTGTCCTCTTGTCTCATTTTTAAAAGACAAAACTGCACCCTTTGCAGGGACGTCCCACGGTCTGTCTGACTGGACTGAAACTGGGTGAGAAGAATGCAGCAAAAAATCCCAAAAAACTTGAAAAACTGCTGATGGGATCATTTGAAAACATGACAAAGTTTGGCTGCTCGGAAGGAAAATATAAAGAGATATTTAGTTAAAAACATGGAGATTTTCTGACTGATTACTTCATCCCAGATCAGGCAGCAGACGTTTTTTTATCCTGCGGGCACAGAGGGGTGTGTCCCTACATGTGAATTTATCTCCTTACAAACAAATATACACATTTAAGTCCAAGCGTTGTTGTTGTTCCAGAAGCCTACACTGTTTAAAACTATTCTCTGCCATAAAACTCAAACAACCTGCAGGTGGGGTGACAGAAACAGGGTGTTGTGATTTAAACAGCCAGAACTGATGAACTGTGGTCCAGCAGGAAGTTCAGGAGCACACATCCTGATCTTCAAAACGTTTTTTCAGAACCATAATGGATCCCATCCGGGTTCAAGTTGAATTAATGTCTCTGTAAAGCTGAGAAATTAGAGAAGTAGGTTAAAAATCCCACTCGGATGCAGAGTTCAGACCATATAAGGACTCAAAAGCCTAAATGCGGAAGTGTTTTAGGTTGAGGAAGTACCAGTGCGCATGCTCAGAAAACATGAGCAAATATTTGTAAATGTAATCGTTTCTTGCATTTATGAGACGATACAAGTTAAACACGTAATTTAAGATTAAACTGTTAATGCACCAATTACTCTTTAAATGAACGAAACGGCTAAACTTAATTCAACCATTTCAACAAAAACGAAAAATGTTAATAAACAACAATAATTCCAAATAACGCGCTAGCTGTTCGCCTGTGAGCAGCTAAAATTAATTTACTCGGTTCATTTAGTTTGAGAACCAGCAGACAGCGGGAATGTGTGTCAGAAAATGACCCAGAAAGAAAGGACCGAGCTGTGACACCCGGCTCTCCCCGCTCCGTGTGCACCGAGCCGCGGCTTCAGCTGCTCACCCTGTGCCGCAGTCCACAACACACGCCGGTAACCGTCCAGCCATCTCTGGTCCCGGGTCTCTGCTGCTGGAGAGACGGTAGGTTCTGGTGGGGAAGAATCGGCTGTGTCGGCTGGAGGATGTGGCAAGCCGTCCACAGGAGGAACCGTGAGCCCGCACAGAACCGTTTCCTCTTCCGCGGTGCTCAGCTTCAGGCAGGCTGGGAGAGGCAAGATGGCGGCGGGGGGTGTTGTGTCGAAAAACGTAACTCGGTAAGGAATGGGACCTCCAACCGCGAAGGACCGGAAATATTAAACAATAAACTCGAGTTTTTCTAGAACATTTTAATTTAATGGATGGATTTTGATTTAAATTATATTAATTTTGTTTTATTTTCAAGTCATATGATTCTCTTTCAGGCTAGGCTGCGGGAATTATTGTTATCATTAAATTGTTTTATAAATAAAAACAGGCACTAAAAATAATAGTAACATTTGTGTACGACTGAACAGCAAATAAACGTGAACAAACACGATGAATAACAAAAAGGAAACTAAAATTATTCACAAAATGAACCATTGTATTCATATACGAGCTGTATTTTGTAATTTTATATCGGAGTAATGCGTCTTTGAGACATAAACATAAATAATATGAGTAATTTAAATATATATATGAATGTATCTAAAAAAAATAAAAAATAAATTATATTATTTCCAAACAGTTTTCTATTTGACAACCACCTTTCACAAAGTCATGTAATGAAAGACAAAAATTATATTGGATATTTTTGAGTTAATATTCTAAAATCTTCATGCCTCCTGAACAAGCACCCATGATTTTAAAAGATAAGTGTGTCTTTCAGAAAACTAAGAGCTTGTTTTACAATCTTTGATTTTACGGTAAAAAGCCTTGAACTGTGCTTCCCTCTACGGGGGTAATTTTTACGATACAACACCGGCCTGAGCCGCTGTCAGTCACTGCTGACGTCAGTGAAGGGTGAACTGATTGAAATCTATGCATTTATTAAAAATTCTTCTGTACGGTGGAGATTTTTTTGTTTGTTTGTTTTTCGTGTTTGCATTTTTTTTTTTGCGTGTTTTTGAGTTTGCATCATACATGCGTTTGCACCCGTCGGCCACCGTACTTCTGTCCTCAAATACATTCCTTCAATAAATCCTGGTTTTATTTCTTACAATAAACTCGTTTTCAAAGTAAAAATGTAAAATGTCTTCACATAGCTCAACTCTGAGCGAAGTGATTAGCAGGAAGAGGTTTTGTTTTTCACGTAAAACCTGGCAGATGTTTTTGTTTTTCCATCATTTTTATTTATTTTTTTAATCTTTATTGAAAAAGTACAAAACAATACAATAAAATGCAGTATACAGTAATGATATAACAGACGCCAGGGGGTTACAAACACAGACAATACTTTACAATAACATATTACATAAATATATTGAAGAGAGCACATAAAGGTGCAAGTTTTTATGGACTCGTGTTGGTGGAATATTTAATAATTTTGATGTATTGTTTGACCTCATTTTCAAAAATGGAGATAACAGGTTTTTGATTAGTGTGTCGACATTTATGAATATGCCATTTGGCTAGATATATAATAAGATTAATAATATAGAACTGTTTTTCTTTAGCTGTGGGGTCAGTGAAGCCAAACAAAACATGTTCCAAGCTAAGTTCTATAAAAGTAGAAATCAAAATACAAATACTTTTTCAAAATTGAGTAGAGAAGGGGCAAGACCAAAACAAATGAAAGACATCTGGGTTTTCATCACAAAAAGAGCAAATTATATTTATATCCTTGTTAAACCGTTGTAAATAAACTTTGGATGGGTAAAATCTATGAATAATCTTGAATGATACTTCTCTTACTTTATTATTTATCATGTATCTGGTTGGTAAAGTCCAAATCCTTTTCCAGTTAAGGTTATTAATAAAGGTGTTCCAATAAGGTGCCACGTATGGAGTTGACAACATCTTTCTGAAAGAGTGAACGGATACGACGGTTGTTGTTACGGGTTGAGGAGAAGCAGATTTGACCAATTTCAAGTTTGGTTGGATCAAAGTGTAACAGTGTTGGATTCTGTCCTGCTGTACTTCTATGTAAAATAATTACTCCAGTAGGGATTGCTTTTAATACAATATTAAATTCGTTATATTTTATGACAAATTCTTGATATGACATTAATGATTCATCGGTGTTGAGCAACTGATGAGCTAAAACCATGTTGTGAATAAACCAGTTAGGGTAAAATAAGGATTTGTTGTTATGCAAGATGTCTCTATTGTTCCAAATATAATATCTGTGTGGAGAGAAATGATGTTTGTAAATCAATGACCAAGAGAGAAACATCTGTTTATGAAAACTGGACAGTTTTGAGGGAACTTTTTCAGCATTATAATTGCAAAATAGAAATAAATGTAGACCTCCTAATTTAGAGAAAATAAAGTTTGGTACGAAGTTCCAAACTGAAGATGGGTTCTTGATGAATTGTTTTAGCCAGTTTATATTTATTTATAGTGTTTTTTTATTCTTCCAAATGAAGTTAAACAGCATCTTGTCAATATCTTCAGAGACCTTTTTATTAACATCAAGAGACCGGGCAGCGTATGTGAGGCGGTAATTCTTCCTCTCAGTGATAAATCTCTTTGCTGCCATTGGTTCAGTTTTTTTGGGGTCTTGTCAATAATGGGGTTAAAATTCAAACGACACCTGGATTCTCCATCTTTAGTAATAATGATTCCCAAGTAAGTAACGGATTCGTTTACAGGTATGCATTTTTTCCATCGTTTGTTGGACTGTTTTACATCTAAACAAGAGATTTTAATATTTTATTTACTACATAACTGATGTGTTTGCTCTTATTGGGACCGACATCTTCAAACTGAACAGTTTGTTCGTCACTTCTGTTTTGTTTTTTGTTTTGTTGAAAACTCGTTTTTTTAACTGAAAAAGAGCTCAGACTGTTCTTGTAGCCACTGAACTCCCCCACAATGCATCACTTCTTCCTGTTTGCAGAGGAGCGAACGCTAAACGCCGATTCTTTGATCTGGGGGTTGTGAAACTAAATCACATTCAAGCTGAATTTATCACAACCACACAAAACTAGCGAGGGAGAATCAGACAAAGTGTTTTATTTAGAGTAAAATTCACTTATAATACAGATAAAACTACATCACAGCAGTTAAACTGTGACGGAGCTCCATGACATAAAACAAACCCGTTTGTTCATTTCTCATCTCATTTTGTCCACACGATGGCTTCAGTTTAGGTTCATCTTCATGAATATGCATTTGTATCATTAATTTATGAACAAGTGATGGATTTAACATGAATTACACATTAATCAGATAGTAAAATAAATAAATAAAAGTGTTGTCTGTATCAGCAGTCTTTCAAAAGGTAAGAAACTTATTTACAATCTGTACATTTTGCCCTGAGGGAGCGTCCTGCTGGTTAGTTCAACACTATGTGGTACCCGTCTGTGTTTTCACCTGAGAAAAAGAGAAAAACATCATTAAATACCAAAAAGTCTCATCGTTTTATCATCAAAGACCAACAAGAACAACATTTACCTCTTATTGTGCTGATTATGAAACTCGCTTCATCCCTGAAGTTCTGTACCATCTGAAACAAAACAAAGTATTTACTAATTACCAGTTACTTCCTCCTCCTGATCACAGAAAGGTTTTACAGTATCCTTAAGCTTCCGACAGCAGCTGCTAAAGAACTAACGTTTCATAAAAACAGAGCTGTCATTCTGTTTGGAGCCTTAAATAAAAACATTAACTAACTAAAAGGAATCTGAAGGGAGGAAACAGTGAAAGGTCACGACATGACTCGCATGCAGATTAATCTCCCTCCCCTCCTTCCTGAGGGTCACTGGGGTCGATGCTTGGACCTGAAAAAGAGTCTTTTGTCTCTGAGGTGTAGGGACCTTAAGGACCCTCAGCAGGGAGAGGAGAGAGACAAAGACCCTGATGACCCTCAGCAGGGAG